GACCAACCAGCCAACAGACTTGCCCCTAAGGCCCCAATAATGACTAAACGCATAATTATGTTACAGATAAGGAACCTGGGAGACTGAAAGCTACCTGCACGCAGGGTTAGGGCTGTCCTGCCACAGTATCTCCAGTGCCCAGTATGGAAACAAGCCTTCTGACGAATGTGTGCCATGGGGAGGCACACACAGCCAAGACTTTTACTTTCTTGATAGCCATTCCAAGGGCGATGAGATCAAATGGTTATTCAAAAAAACTATCAAATTTGCAAGGAAAATTCCAAGTAGAAGACAGGATCCCCATCTATTTTATTCTCTGCTTTATCTTCAGGGCCTTATTAAGTGCTTTAAAAAAAAAAAAAAACTACTTTTGAATTTACTATAAATGAATGAATGAATAAATGGTACAGACTAGGCTTGGCTATACGGAATCTTCTGCACAGTGAAATATGATTAAATGCGCTTGACCTTGCACCCGCTTTGGCTCACCAGACTCACCGTGAGAAGTCCGCTCGTAGATAGCTACCGCTTTCTGGAGCCAGGCTGCAGCGTGAGAAGCTTGGAGCCAACGTGAGCCAAAGCGGAAACCTGGAGGCAAAGCCCCACTGACCCATCAGTGAGAGAAAAATAAGCTTCTGGTATAAGCCAGAGGGTTAGGGTAGTTTGTAATACAGTACTAAGCAAAAGCTAAAGAAATGAGGCTTAAGAAAACAGGAGGGCAGTTGGGAAAAAACTCCACGTAATATACTGTATAAACTTAAAAAGTATTCAAACAGTTCCAGAAAGAAAATAATAAGGTAAGGTTTTCTCTTGTTCTATGTTGTTAAAGGATCATGGTCTAAAGTTGGAGGAACTCAGGGTAAGGCCTACAGGTAACAAGGACATGTGAATTAGAAATGTGATTTCAAGCTATTTCCCTCACATGTCATTCAAAGTTATGCTAACCAGGAAGAACTCAGCCCCTCCGCCCAAAAGTTAATGAAGTCGCCATTTCCCCAAAGGTTATACACTAAATCTCCAACAGCAGGTTAGCAGCACCCAGGGGGACTATGTTCCAATCCTCCTCAAGAAGCAGGGCCCTTGTGTACCAGAGTCTCTTAGCACTGAGTACCCAAAAAACTAATAGTAATATCAAAATGGGAGTAAAAAAAAAAGAAAATAGTCCAAACCTAACAATGAAGAAAAAGATATACCATTATTTTTATCCATTCTATGAAGACAGCAATTATGATACTAGAGGGTTTAATGACAGCTTTTCAAAACAAAACAAACAAAATCCAAAAAAACAAAAACAAAAAAATACTACATTAACTGCACAAATTTTAAGAGGTATTCGGACTACAACATGAAGATGGAGGACAAATGCACCTTAAACAAAGGAAATACTGCAATTGTTGCTTTCACACCACCGTTCTCCCTTTCCCAGTAGAATATGCTCCCCTACCAGCGTAAGATCCAGCTCTAAGGGTACAACTTTAACAAATCACTGAACCTATTTCAAAGACCTAAAGTAAAACATCTGGTATTTTAGAAAACCAGTGATGTATTAGTATCATATTAGCCTAAATGTGTATTTTGCCACAACCTAAAAAGCCCGCTGAGGACTGTTTTAGATCATCCTTTTCCAAACTCTAGCTGACACTCCCTGAGTCGTATGAATCACTAAGCCAAGATGATGGACAAGTCTGTTAAGTCAAACAGAAAACAGTATTTAAATAGAAAAACAGTATTAACTTCATCCATTTCCCACCCATGATCTTCTGATACATGAAAGTCAAATTTAAAATATTTAATTAGGGATGCCGGGGTGGCTCAGCTGGTTAAGCATCTGACCCTCGATTTAGGCTCAGGTCACGATCTCAGGGTCATAAGATCGAGCCCTGTGTCGGGCTCCACACTCAGGGAGGTATCCACTTGAGATTCTCTCTCTCTCCCTCTCCCCACCCTCCATGGCTAATGCTCTCTAAATAATTAAATAAATAAACAGACAAACAAGCAAACAACTAAAATCTTTATAAGAAAATATTTAGTTAGAAAACTATTAGCTTAACTCAATCCCCTTGTCTTTGTTGTTCTTCTGATGTATTCGCTCACACAACCATGTGACCTTTATTTCACTCATTCATTCTTGAAATCATGTACCATCCAGTGACTACTTTTAGAACCGTCTCTCATGTGTCAAACGCTACTCTAGGCCAGGGACACAGCAATAATCAGGATGGACCTATGTGCCACTACAGTAAGAACGAGGGATATACAGTCCCTGCTCCCTAGGATCTCAGAACACAATCCCGGTACCTCTCCCTGGCATGGTCAACAAGGAATAAGAAACATTGGTTAAAACAGTAAAGCTTAGGGGCGCCTGCGTGGCTCAGTTGGTTAAACAACTGCCTTCAGCTCAGGTCATGATCCTGGAGTCCCGGGATCGAGTCCCACAGCAGCTCCACAGGGAGTCTGCCTCTACCTCTGACCTTCTCCGCTCTCATGATCTCTCTCACTGTCTCTCTCTCAAATGGATAAACAATATCTTTAAAAAAATAAAAAATAAAAAAAACAGTAAAGCTTAGATCGGCCTCTTCTTAACCCCTTCCCAACCAAGCCATGCAGCTTAGCTCCAGCACAGCACAGAATCAAGCCAAACATGATTCCACTTAGAAAAAACCACCAAAATGAGGTTATGCTGTGCCAACAGCTCTTAGTTTCTAAGACTCTCCTACATTATCAGTACAATTCCCTTAAGGTAAATGAATCATTCCTGTCACCTAAAGAAAATCTGTCCCATATTCAGATTCACAGCACAGAATCTGGAATCTGATGGAAGCAGTCTGGGTAACAATCTAGGAGCAATCGTTCTCCAACTTGGCCGTGTTCTGGAAATACATGGAAAGCTTTTAAAAACCCATTGCTCAAGCTATACTCCAGTAAACAACAAAGTCTGAAAAGCATGGATACAGAAAACTTGAGGGAAAATCTGGTTGTTTTCCAACTAACCAATGGATGAGAGAGATATGTGCTGTCACTGCTTCCCAACATGAGCAGGGAGCCTTCTGGGCATCACCTTCACTAAGGACTGCTATGGACCCACTTTGGTCTTAAAGAGAAGGGGTCTTGCAGGCTACCTGCCAATCTTAGGGAAGAAGGCACAAACCTGAACATACTGAGGGGAAACCATCACCTCAAACGGAAGGCCAGAAAGGAAATACATTAAAAAAAATAAAGCTTTAAAATCTTATCCCAAAATGTGTTAGATTAAGAGTCAACTTCCCACTCCTAAGTATCTAAAAAGAGGCGGAGGGAAAAGAACAACCCCCAGGCTGGCTTGTGAAGGGTTTTGTTTGTTTGTTTAATACATCTGAAAAGAATGCATATACAAAGAACTGAGACATGAGAAAGCATTGGTTCAACACTAATGAATCTACAAGAATTAGGATTTGGGGAAGGTGGAAAAGACTACCTAAACATTTTTAAAAATTGGAAACTGCAACGAAGGTAAGTGAATAAAATCCCTATTAACACTTATGAAGAGTCTTCATAAGACTCCATGATTTTTTTATTAAACTAGAGAGCCTTAACGAGCTACTCCAGGGTTCCTCGTATGTAAAACAGAAATAAGGGGATTCCCCTGACTGGTCCCCATGTTGTTAAATGTTCTCCCCATCCCCACCCACACCCCCAGCTTCTTCATGAAGCAGGTCTCCATCCTCCCCACTTGAAAGAGGATGTGCATCATTCCACAGACATCTGTCTCCTAGCGCCACCCCTCAAATTTCCTCAATTTACCAGGTCTTCAGCTGTGTTCTAGGAACACTACATCATACACTATTAGGCTGGACATTTCTATGCTAAGCATATTAAGACAATGACTGACGGGGAAAAAAAAGTTTTTTAATTACGTACTCAATCCATTTGGTGTATTTCAAAAGGTGCAATACTTTTCTTCATTTATCAGTGAAAGAAGTTAGAAATTAACTTCAAAAAAAAAATCAGCACATGGCAAACAAATTTTCTTGAAAGTCACAGTCACATATATAGTGCATCCTAGAAAAGAGGAGGGGCAAGACAGGTTCCACCCACTTTCATGAGTTTCATCAAATACTGGACCTACTCAAGGGTGGAGAGAAAAGGCAACTTTCAAAAAGGAGTATGTTATTAAATGAGGCATTTACTATACTCCTTCCTAAGAGCACCAGGTGGGGAACAAGTTTTCTAAACTAGATCTAGGAAGTGGAATGTGGAATCAATCAGTCCTCCTCCCCTTAAGGGCTATCTGATGGTTAATGAATTTAAAAAACATAACTAAATAAAAACAAACCCCACACACACTCCCCGCACCCCACCCCACCCCACAAAAACAAAAACAAAAACAAAAAACCCTAAATGTCCCAGATCATTCTCCAGAGTGGATGGAGCCCGGGAGCAACTTCAATAATCCAAATTAGTCTGTTATAGAGTCATCACAAGCATGCCTTGCTTTTAAACAAAAAACAAAAAAACAACAGAAAAAATTTTTTTGAAACAACAAAACAAGACCTAGTATTAATTACTTTTCTGACAATACACAAGTACTCAAATTAACTAGTACTGAGAGAGGGAAGGGGACCATACCTATGGGCCTTGTCTCACACGAGCACATGTGGGTAGGTACGGGGCATTTGTCATTATCGCAAAAACGAATTTTAATCTTTAATCTTTAGTTTGATTTAACATTGC